CGAAAAAGTAACGGTTCATTTACTTTCTGTTGGTCACATTGTTTTCAACTTTTGATTAAAAACATTAAGATATGCAGATAATTTCGTGTTGAACTGATCCCACGTTCATATTATGTTGACATATGAAATGCAATATATAACCTCAAATATAACATGTACATTTTGAGAGAAATTTAAATATAAATAATATATTACGTTGGTTTCTATTTGTTTTAACAGTATTTCAAATGTAAATAAAATAGAGGAATTATTGTATATCATATTTATAAGTAATATACATTTTATACAATGCCGAAGAACATTCAGGCAAACGGATCGAGTAAAAGATATGTAAGCATGGTACTAAAAGTTTAAACTTAGAATTTAAAATTTTTATACGCCTCTTTTACATTTTCATGTCACATGTTACTTTCGGAGTGGATAGTGCTGAGAGCATTCAGCAACAAGCTCACATTCAAATATTTGATAAAAATTTGTATAGTCAAGGGGGTCAACGAATTCCAACGCAATATGGAGTTATGGATCGTAGAATGGTAATATATATATAAATATATATATACAGTCAACCCTCGTTTAATGCGGCAAGTGCATACCGTGCAGTATGGGGACCGTGCTATAAAAAACTCGTATTTTAACATACAATTCAAGCTAATTCGTAGTGCGTTCTATGGAAACTTATATAGTATGGGAACCATGCTATGAGAGACTAAGAGTTAGTATAAATTGCACTATTTTTATCGTGCTGTATGGAGACCAAGGAATACAACTTGAAGTAGGAGTGATACGGACAAATGACATGTATGACATAGACACTAGGGTTTATACAATAACCGACATTCCAGATATCCGGCTTTGCAATTGTAAATTTCTCAGAAAACTGGTTTTAGCCGGTTTTTGAATTTTATATAAAAAATTAATTTTTGCTCGAATATTCTCGAATAACAAAGAAAAAATTTTGGCAAATTTAGTGTCATTTATAGCAGTTTTTGACTAAATTTATTTAATGCTCAACTTTATGAATAGTAAACAAATTTATTTTAATTTTAATTAGTAGAATAAAGAAATAATAGTTAATCTGGATTAAATAACTTTGAAAATGATTATTCATTATACATGCATCATTTTCACATATGAGATTATAAATATTCGTATGATAGTGAAAAAAAAAGAGTTTGTATAAATAAAAATAATACATTTTCAAATAAAAAACCTAACTTGTAATTAAACAGATACATATTGATACATACTTGTTAATGTCAATTTTAGTTTTAAAAACAATAAATAAAACCCCGAGTTTATTCTATTCCGATCAATTTTAATTAATTAATTTCAAATATTTAATTATTTTTTGATATAATGAAATATGGTTGCTAAAAGTTGAGGACGTCTATTGATTTGTTATTTAGAAGTGTCCTTCGTTTAAGCACAAAATTTTCCAAAATAGAAAATACTCTCTCATTTGGAACCGAACTAGGCTTAATCATTATTAAAGCGTGATAATATAGTTCTGAAGATTTTGTTTTTTTATTTGTGGCTTGTAGGGCTGAATTCTCTTTTTTAAAGTTTGAGTGAAGCAATTAACTACTTCAACAAGAAGTCACATTGATCTCAATTAATATATACATTGATATAATAATCTAAATTAATATATACATTTGACAAAAGATAAGACCTCATCTTTCTTGGAATTATAACAGACTGATTCCAAATGTTATCGAACCGTATGATTACAGGTATTAAAACGCTTGCTTCTATCTAGTATATTTGTCATTTTACATCTATACAGCAAAAACCGATTTTATCCGCTAAAAACGGTTTTCGAATTTCATAATTTTCATCAAAAATCCGGTTTTTGAAAACCGACAAACCCTAATAGACACTTTATTTAAAAATTGGCGCGAAAGATATTATATAGTCAGGCATGTCTAAAAGATAAAAGTCGATAACAAAACTTACATGGATACCCTTTTGATATTAATGTACTAGAATCACTCATAGGTTGCGCAAGGAACTTATGGGCTGTTGAACAAAAACCGTGCAATAGGAAGTCCGTGTAGTCGGAGGGATGTCGGATTTTTACCTCCGCGTAGTATGGGAACCTTGTACCCAGAATGCCGTGTTAACGGAGGGTTGACTGTACATACCTACAATTCGAATTTTTGCACGATTAATACTGCAGTATAGTATATGTATGTAATGTAATCTAGAAAAATGTATGTGCATACACAAAAAAGTTTCAAATTATTAACAAACATGATTTTCCTTGATATGTATGTATAAATTTGTGATTTTTAATAAATACACAACATTATTCTTCATACATTCGACTATCCGGATTTTCGATTATCCGAATGCCTATCGACAACAATTAGCCCGATTAGAAATATTAGACAATGTCCTGCATTTTGAAGCCAATTAGGTTTTGTTTATTTACTTTTTATAAAATAAGAATCGTGAAAGTTACAGTATTTATAGTAATGAATTTAAAAACATTTAACATTCCCCGAATATTTCATTGAGGTACAGAAAGTTTTAGCAATTTGCCTTAAGGCACGATGCCATACACCACTAGTTATACTAGTTATAGTTTATAATCATGTTTGAAAGATAGAATTGGTTCGGAAGTATTCAAGATGCGCGCTACTTGAATAAGTCGGAAAAATTTAGATGATTGAATTGCCATATTTACTTTTTTGCTTGCTCGGAACAAAATCGAGTCTTTTTTGGACTAGATGATAATGGGGGATGAATACAATTTTCTAATTATCATTTGCTTTTGTCGTGAAAAAATTTTTTTAACAAAAATAAATTGGGTAAAAAATTAGAAAACGCAATTTTTTGCATCTAAATTATGAAACATTTTTCAAAAATAAGAAAAAAAAATTGTCCTCGAAAGAAGGAAAATTGTAAAAAAAAAATGTATTTGCTGATAGATATGTTAAAGTTAATGCATTTGAATAAAAAAACTAATCTTTTACTAATATATGTTCTGCCCTGTTAATTTTTATGATTAACTTCCCGTAGTAATGTGCCGAAAATCGAAAATGAAAATTTTTGCATTTCCTCGCGTTTTGAAGGTTTCTGAACATTTTGGAATACTTCAGAAAAATGGATGTGTGTTCTGTGTGTCTGCATTTTTTCGTTCACGATTTCGAGCGCACGGATCAACCGATTTGAATAGTTCAAAAAACATTAGATTCCTATTGATAGGAAGATGTGCTGATTAGTTTTTGGCAAAGGCAGGTCCAGCCGTTACGGAGATAAAGAGCAAAGAGTGCAAAAAATAGAAATCGAGTTTTTGAGAGAACAGAGCATCCGATTTGAATCATCTAAAAAACATTTGTAATGGTTGGGAGAAGTGATGATTAGTTTTTGGCAGAAGCAGGTCTAGCCATTTAGAAGATACAGAGCTAAATGTACAAAAATGGCAGTTTTTCAGAGAATGAAGGATCTGATTTGAATGATTCAAAAAAAATTCTGCTTATATTGACGAAATAATTGCTTTTGGAAAAAAAAATCAATTTTTTTTATCATTATTTTTTTTTTTTTTTTTGAATATCGAAAATATTTGAGATTCCAATTTTAATTCTGGTTTAAAGCTCACTTATATACTTTAAGTGAATAATTTTAACTTTGTAATTCAGTTTATATATTTCTTATAAATATTATACAATGTTACAGTATTTATAATAATCTATTTGAAAACATTTAATATTCCTCGAACATTTCGTTACGGTACGGGAAGTTCCAGCAATTTGCCTTAAAGCAGGATGCCATACACCACTAGTTTTCGAAACAGTTTATAAACATTTTATTTATTTGACCAAAAATCTTAACAATATTACATATTTGTAATACTGAGATATATTTAATCACTTAATGCTAGGGTTTTTTTGTGAAGGGAGGTCAAAATATAAGCAGGGTTTTAATTGTACTTTTGAACAATTATATTATATAATTAATAAATATCGACTTACAAGTACAAATTTATAAGCTCTATGAAATAATAATCTATTCAACAATTCGATATTTCTATAGACTATAAAAAGCATTGTTATGCTCACATTCATAGATATATTTGCAAAAAAGCTAAAAATTATCGCTTTAGATAAAAAAAATTAAGATAATATATAAATAAAGGGCCAAGAAGTACTCGCAATGGCAAAATCGAAACAATTCTTAAGCGAGACAGTCTCGATCGAAGTGAAAACCGAATATTTGTATGTGGCGAGAGGCTCTCGCGCGAAAGGGTCTCGTTCGAGTAGCTTAAGTGGTTAATCAAATATTTCTACTTACTCATTTTACTGTATTCATAAAAAAATGATTAACTTTAAACAATTATTCATGATTTTTTCTTTCTATTCTTTAAGGGAACAAGTGAAAAGGATGCGAAGTGTGAGACTTGCAATAAGGGCTTAACAGATTGTATGGGTCATTATGGTTATTTAGACTTGGCCTTACCTGTATTTCATGTTGGTTATTTCAAGCATATTATAAATATTTTACAAACAATATGTAAAGTAAGTAAATTTTAATGCTATATATATACTTTGTGTTATTCACGTTTATTGAATGTTTTTAGACTTGTGGTCATGTAATGCTTAAACCAGCAGATAAAAAGATATTAACCAGGAGAATGATGAATCCTAATATAACGTGCTTACAGAAAAAACAATTACGAGCACAGGTTAGTTTTTTTTTATTTGAAAAAAAAAAAATTATATATATATATATATATTGTAGAGCTTCGAACAAAAAATTCAAAGAGTAATAAAAAACAAAAGTTTTTTTGAAAAAACATTTCTTTATTTATTTACTGTCGACGTTTTGGAACTAGGTACGTTCCATCTTCAGGACATCTGTCAAGAAACATGATCTTGATATATATATATATATATATATATATATATATATATTAATTCAGAAATATGAACAAGCAGCACTCTTTTTTTTGCACCAATTTATTAAATAATATTAATTTTACAAATGTTTCGAGACTATGTTTGTCTCATCATCAGTGTATTATAATTTAAAATCTAAAATTATATTTAAAGGTTTTAGATAAAGCTAAAAAGTTGTCTAAATGCCCAAATTGTGAGGCAATAAATGGAATCGTTAAAAAAAATCCTGGAGGCTTTATGAAAATTGTACATGACAAATTCAGAGGAAAGAAACCCACAGATACACTAGTAACATCATATTTAGGTATATTTTATATAAATGTAATGAAGCAAATAAAGGAATGATTTCTTCATAACATGATTATTGAATTAATTATTTGTTGATAGATTCGATGGCTGAAGCAAGGGAAGAAAATCGAGATTTGGGTCAAGTTGGAAATTCTGCATTAACTCAAGATCTGAATCCTGTGGAAGTTTTAAAGTTGTTCAAAAAAGTTCCAGATGTAAGTAGGAAATAATTAAAATACTAAAATAATACAATGATATTGGTAATGTATATTTTGTTTTTTTTTCAGTCAAATATTTTTTTATTGGGAATGAATACTACACGAAGTCGACCGGCAGATTTGATTTTAACAAGAATACTAGTTCCACCCGTATGCATAAGGCCATCTGTTGTATCTGACATCAAAGCCGGAACGTAAGAAATAGTTAATAACCAATTTAAGGCATCATTGTTACAACTGACGAAATTTTTCATATTTTTATTTTGTCATTTTTTGAGAAATTTCTTACTCGCTCAAAGCTCGTATCTCGAATTTTGCACGTATGTCGAATCAACAAAGCGCTTTTTTGGCGGCTCCTGTAGCGGGTTGCCAACACGCATCGCGGCTTGTCAACACGCATCACATGTTACTGGACAGATTTGCCCATATATTGACAGCACAGAAAAAAAACAAAAATAAATTCAAGTGTCAGATCGGACACGGCTTTTGTTTCTCTCTAGTCGAATTTGCCTAAAATGTATAATTCTTGAAACCTTTCTTTTCTATTATAAATAAGAAAATACCAATAACGTTTTATTAATGATCAGTATGACAACACATAGTGTCGTGGATATTAATCATATATAAAATAAACGAAATATAAATAATATTTTATGAAATTTATTATTGTCTATCATTTTGGTATTTAATATGGACCACACCTCCATATTTTGGCGACCCCGAGAGTGAACAAGTAACACACATTTCGCAAGAAGGTAAGAAGATCAAGTCATTTTTAGAAGTAACAGAATAAATTGAAGTCTCAAGAATAATCAAGAAAAGAATTTTTAAAAATATAAATAATTATTATAAATGGCTCACAACCGCCATAACTAGAAGAACATTCTAATCCTACAACTTACACGTGCTCAATAAATCACTTATTATCATGGTAAATAAGTCGATAATAAGCACCATGGCAACAGACAGGGAGCAAACAATTTGGCAACCGCCACATACACTCAACCGCTAACTCACCAGCGAAGGGCCACATACACTCAACCGCTAACTCACCAGCGAAGGGCCACATACAATCAACCGCTAACTCACCAGCGAAGGGCCACATACAATCAACCGCTAACTCACCAGCGAAGGGCCACATACAATCAACCGCTAACTCACCAGCGAAGTGTCAAATATACTCAGCCGCTAACTCACCAGCGAAGGGCCACATCTACTCAACCGCTAACTCACCAGCGAAGGGCCACGTAAGCAATCAACAAACTCAACAAGCCAACACGGCAATTTATCACACAATCTCAACCAAAAGAAATTTACAAGGAAGTTCAAGAATGGCAGTCAGAGATGCGAAACAATCTTTTTCATTAGGGCGGAGTGATGTAGCGGGTTGCCAACACGCATCGCGGCTTGTCAACACGCATCACATGTTACTGGACAGATTGGCCCATATATTGACAGCACTGAGAAAAACAAAAGGAAATTCAAGTGTCAGATCGGACACGGCTTTTGTTTCTCCCTAGTCGAACTTGCCAAAATGTATAATTTTCAAAACCTTTCTTTTTCTATTATAAATAAGAAAATACCAATCACATTTTATTAACGATAAATATGACAACACATAGTGTCGTGGATATTAATCATACATAAAATAAACCAAATATAAATAATATTTTATGAAATTTATTATGACTATAATTTGGACAATTCCGGTATTTCTACAATATGGAGCACGCCTCCATATTTTGGTGACCCCGAGAGTGAACTAGTAACACACATACAAGAAGGTAAGAAGATCAAGACATATTTTGAAGTAGCACAAAAAAAATAAATTGAAGTCTCAAGAATTACTAAGAAAAGAATTTTTAAAAATATAAATAATTATTATAAATGGCTCACAACCGCCATAACTAGAAGAACATTCTAATCCTACAACTGAGACTCCGACCACGCACTTCAAGATCAACAATAACACGTGCTCAATAAATCACTTATTATCATGGTAAATAAGTCGATAATAAGCACCATGGCAACAGACAGGGAGCAAACAATTTGGCAACCGCCACATACACTCAACCGCTAACTCACCAGCGAAGGGCCACATACACTCAACCGCTAACTCACCAGCGAAGGGCCACATACAATCAACCGCTAACTCACCAGCGAAGGGCCACATACAATCAACCGCTAACTCACCAGCGAAGTGTCAAATATACTCAGCCGCTAACTCACCAGCGAAGGGCCACATCTACTCAACCGCTAACTCACCAGCGAAGGGCCACGTAAGCAATCAACAAACTCAACAAGCCAACACGGCAATTTATCACACAATCTCAACCAAAAGAAATTTACAAGGAAGTTCAAGAATGGCAGTCAGAGATGCGAAACAATCTTTTTCATTAGGGCGGAGTGATGTAGCGGGTTGCCAACACGCATCGCGGCTTGTCAACACGCATCACATGTCTCTGGACAGATTGGCCCATATAGTGACAGCACTGAGAAAAACAAAAGGAAATTCAAGTGTCAGATCGTACTTGGTTTTTGTTTCTCCCTAGTCGAACTTGCCAAAATGTATAATTTTCAAAACCTTTCTTTTTCTATTATAAATAAGAAAATACCAATCACATTTTATTAACGATAAATATGACAACACATAGTGTCGTGGATATTAATCATACATAAAATAAACCAAATATAAATAATATTTTATGGAATTTATTATTACTACAATTTGGATAATATTGGTATTAATATGGAGGACTACTACACCTCCATACTCCTATCTCGAAACACTCGTATGTCAGGTCATTCGAATGCCGGGGTACCACCATATACAAGTATTGGTAGTCTCTTAATTTAATGCTCATTTATCATAAAAATTAAATGGACTGCTTGGCGAAATTCGCTCTCTCGCCCCCCGCTCTCACGCACATTCTAATCCGTCCCGGATTTCATGCAAAAAAATATGGTCACCTCACTCAATGAGGTATTTTAGTCTAGAAGTTTTAAGATATTGAATTTTTCTTCGTAATATTTTCCATGTTTAACTATTTGAGGATATCTATACAATAAGAAACTTCTTTATAGACTTCTTTTTAGTATGAACTAGGTTCATTTTGCCAACTTTTTTTTTTATCTTCTACTTCATTTCCTGCTATAATTAAAACTTTTTGGCATTTTTAATTTTTAATCTTTTTTTATATTTTTAGAGAATTATTGTTTTTTTACGGCTTTAAAAGAATATATTATCTTATAGGGCAAATTACTGCTAAATTATACAAAAAGAAAACTAAATGGATTATTTAAGTGAAAGTCTATAAGTCACTTAAGGTAAAAAAGATCAGGAAGCGGCAGAAGTTATAAGATTATAATTATCATGCAGAAGAATTAGTAGATCGGAGATTTTTTTATTTTCTTATTGTTTTTGTCCATTTTTTGCAGTTTGACCTACAATTTTGACTTAGATTTGTGTTCAGCGGTAAAAAGTACATTGTATTTTACACCTTTTTTTGTGGACCTGTGTAATTGATGTTTATAAAAACAACTTTCAGTAATAATTATACTATGATTAGCACTAACCGGTAACTATCAAATGTCGCGGTTAATTTATAGCAAACACTACTAAGAAATTATGCGTTGAGAAAACTTTTTAAGTAGGTATTTGATGTTACAGTGGTACTTTGACATACAGAGTCAAATTGTTCTGTAACCATGCTCGTATCTGTAAGCAATTTTTCCATACAAATACATTGAAATGCCATTAATTTGTTCGACCACGGTAATTTCTGTTGCGTTTTTTAAATATTAAATTAACGTTAAATAATTGCGCTCTATCTAAACGTTAATATTAAGAGCTAAAACTTTCAGAGAATTGTTTTTTATCAATTTGGAACCATTTGAGCCCCTGGGAGCAAGGAAATTCGAAAATGACCATTTTAAGGACCACCCTAATATATATATATATATATATATATATATATATATATATTTGCTAATATTATGAAAATTATTATTAAAATAAATTATAATGCTTAATTATGTAATATACATAATTAAGAATATTTATTAATAATATTTTAGGACTGAAGATGATCTAACTATGAAGCTGTCAGAAATCCTTTTAATAAATGAAGTGATAAAAAAACACATGCTAACGGGTGGTAAAGTAGAATTGATTCAAGAGGATTGGGATTTTTTGCAACTCCACTGTGCTCTCTATTTTAATAGTGAAGTTACTGGTGTACCATTAGGAATGCAACCAAAAAAATCATCAAAAGGTTTAGTTCAGAGATTGAAAGGAAAGCAAGGTCGATTTCGAGGTAATCTTTCTGGAAAACGTGTTGATTTTTCAGCAAGAACTGTGATTTCTCCAGATCCGAATTTACAAATTCACCAGGTGAGATAGCGTCACAAAGTCAATAACATATTTTAGAAATATTTAGAAATCGTTTTTTTTGTTTGGGTCTTATATTGTTAATGTTACTAGTCACTTTGTTTAACAGTTTAAAAAATGTAGTTTATTTATTTATTTAACCTAATTGACAGAAGAAAAATTGTAATATGAATGTACATTTTATTTATTTTGTCTATATTTAATATATTATTATTTAAAAGGTTGGGGTTCCTGTATATGTGGCAAAAGTATTGACATATCCTGAACGAGTACATCCTGCTAATTTGCAAAGAATGAAACAACTCGTGAAAAATGGTCCAGATGTACATCCTGGAGCAAACTATGTACAACAGAAAGGCAGCGATTTCAAAAAATTTTTGCAATACGGAAATCGTGCAAAAATTGCTCAAGAACTAAAATGCGGTGATACAGTTGAAAGACATCTATGTGATGGAGATGTGGTAAGTGTTTAGTTATGAAAAAAATATTTATTTATTTATAAGAAATCAATATATAATTCTATGGTCAACCTGTGGAGCCTTTTGCAAGTGGGGCGTAGAGCTGTTTCCAAAATACTTTTAATTTTACAATAAACCAAAAATTTAGAATTGATATAAAAAATTAACATTATTATTTACTTCCCGTAGGGTATTTTGCAAAAAAATCGAAAATGAAAATTTTTATATATCTTTACGTTTCAAAGGTTTCTGAATATTTTGGCATACCTTAGAAAAAATGGATGTATGTATGTGTGTGTGTATATATGTTTGTGTGTGTGTGTGCGTGTGTGTATGTGTGTGCGGATACAAATTTTTTGACGATTTCGGGAACACCGATCAACCGATTTGAATAATGCAAAAGACATTCGATTTGTATTGATAAGGAGACGTACTGGTTCGTTTTTGGCGAATGCAGTTTTAGCTGTTCCGAAAATATGGGGCAAAAAGTGCCAAAAACGGCAACTCAGTTTTTAAGAGAATGGAGCGTCCGATTTTAATAATCCAAAAAACATTTTACTTATATTGACAAGATGAAAAACTGATTGAATTTTTGGGAAGGCAGGCCAAGCGGTTATGGACTCTCAATAAAAATAAGTTGAAAAAAATATCATTTGGCGGTCAAAAATGTTTATTGGACATATGTACATCAAATTGTCAGATATTTTATAGAGATTTTGATAACGTGTACATATTTTGTGTAATTTTTTTTTGGGTTCCGTACCAAGATTTTTTATTACGGTACGGGAAGCTGCAGAAATTTGCCTTAAGGCACGATGCCATGCACCCATGCACTAGTTTATATTTTTAGTATTGCATATTAATTTGTCTGATAATTGTTTATGATATCAGTTGAGTATTTATGAACAAACAATTAATTACTTAAAATGTTGAAAAATGATTTCGAGTGATTTTTAAGTAAACGAATTCGAAGTATTCAATTTTGTCAAATATTTATACATGTTAGGTGTTTTTGACAAATAGTTTAAATATCACAAAATATTCAAAAACGAACACTTGGTAATACGTAATACATACACGGTGTAGTTTGTAAAAGCGCGGCTCATTAATCTAAACTTTAATTATGATTAAACCACTTGTCATAGGCCTATAATATTTCAGTATGTTCATTGGCCATGAATTTTATTACGCTGTAGAAAATTTTATTAAAATCGCAAAAAATATTTTTAACAATCAATTACGAACGAACTGCCCGAGGGATCTTTGCCAAAAATGAATCAGCATGATTTCCAAATGATAAATTTCTAATAGTTGTGGGATTTTATAAATCGGTCCTGATTTTTGCTTGTTAAGCCGGTCGTCGCTCAAAATTGGTAAACGCGAGTCTTTGTCGGGTTACATTGAATGACGAACTTTTAAAATTGTTACAGCCGTTTTTGAGCAAACGTCGATAAAAGGTCAAATCGGCTCACATAAACCTATCCATACTTTTTGCAAATTTAATCTCAAACGATTCAAAATGACTCGAAACGTCGAGAAAACATATAATTAGCAATTCCGATTTTTGTGAAAACAAACTTTTTCTTCGGAAAGTTAATAGCCAGTGGTTAACTGTTTTCTTAAAATATTAATTCGTTAATGAATTACTGTTTGGTTAATCTACTGTGTATCAGTATAACATTATTCCATAGAATTAGCTATTTAATATTTCGCTAAGCATATTAAATTTAATATTAATTTTTGTTTTAACTCTCAGGTATTATTTAACCGGCAACCTAGTTTGCACAAATTAAGTATTATGTGTCACAGAGCCAAAGTTCAACCCCAGAGAACTTTTAGATTTAATGAATGTGTTTGCACTCCTTATAATGCTGATTTTGATGGCGACGAAATGAATTTGCATCTTCCACAAACTGAAGAAGCAAGAGCGGAGGCCCTTGTCCTAATGGGAAATACATCAAACTTAGTAACACCCAGAAATGGAGAGTTAACAATTGCAGCAACACAAGATTTTATCACAGGTGATTTTTGAAAAACCATAATGTTAATAGTAGTTGTAATCATTCAGTTTGCCATTTAAACATACAAATTTATTAACCATTATTGTTCGGCAAAGGGTTAAAATACATTAAAACCAAATTTGTTAATTATATATATTGATCATAATTTTTCTTGGTTTTCAATTAGGTGGTTATCTTTTAACACAAAGAGATGAATTCTTGACTCATGAGCAGGCTATGCAATTGGCAGCATGCTTTCTTGCTGGACCAGATGCAACATTGCAAATTGATTTACCTGAGCCAGCCATATTGAAACCTCGAAGATTATTTACAGGAAAACAAATATTTAGTCTATTGTTGAAACCTAATAAAGAATGCCCAGTTATGGCAAATCTTGTCACTAGTGGAAGAAATTACACAAAAAATAAAGACTTGTGTGTTCGTGATTCTTTCGTAATTATAAGGTATCATAAATTTATTAACAATCAATTTTTGCAATTTTTTTCTTTTATATGATGTTTTTATGCAAATCAAAATGTTTTGCAATATTTTAGAAACTCAGAATTACTTTGTGGATCGATGGATAAGAAAACTTTAGGCTCTGGCACTAAGAATTCAATATTTTACATTCTATTGCGAGATTGGGGTGAAGAAGTTGCTTGTAAAGCTATGTGGCGGTTGGCCAGGCTAGCTTCTTACTTCTTGATGAATCGTGGATTCAGTTTTGGCATTAGCGATGTAACACCTAGTGCCAGACTTATTGAACTCAAAAATATGTTACTAGAGCAAGGATATAAAAAATGCGACGAATATATAGCTGAGATGAAAAAAGGTGTTAATCTAGTTTTTTTTTGTTAATGAAATTATTTTTTTTATGTACTTCTACATACTTCTACAATTTTTTGCTACTGATAAATTTATTTCAGGTACTTTGACATGTCAGCCTGGTTGTACTGCTGAGGAAACATTGGAATCAATGATGTTGAAGGAATTGTCATCAATAAGAGAAACAGCTGCTAAAGCCTGTTTTGCTGAATTGCCACCGACAAATGCCCCACTTATTATGGCACAATCTGGTTCCAAAGGTATTCAAAATGTGAAAATATATGCAATAGAAGTTTTATAGTTTTTATTGATCTAAATGTCTCTATTATTTAATCTCTTGAAATTATACTTTTTAACGGAAAAAATAATTCTGCTTCGGCGGTTTTGGTATTCAGTGGTACATACGAGTTTAATTTGTTGTGTAAGCACGCTTGTATGTCGAATCGCTCGTATCTCAAAGCTTTTTTTTTCATATAAGTACATTGATATGTCATTCATTCATTCCAGCATTGTGGTTTCTGTTACGTTTTTTGAATATTAAAATCAAATTTACTATTTATTGATTTATTGATTTTTTCTGTCCGTTCACAATCTTGTGGTAATGTGTTAGACATAATTCATTGAACAATTCTCATGCTCGAACCCGTGTGGTTTTTATCTATAAACGTTTATAAATTATTGTAAGCATCATAGCTGAAGTTATACCCTTTATCAACTCCTTCTGTTTAAAGACAGTACATATCTATGATGTATTTCTATCGTACATCCTCATATTTTTCAATAATTTCACACTTTATTCAAGAGTCATAGCCCTTTTTTTTGGACCTGTGGTTTCAAAAGTAAATAATATTTTGTAAATGCACAAAAAGCAAAAGATGCGAACTGAAGATTAATAACAATGTAATCACTTTAAATATATAGTTAAAATTTTGAATATCAAAATATTTCTTGACATATTCGCGTGTTTAAATCGTTACTGCGCAATGAATATTAATATATAATGACTAACTGTAAAATAATTGTTACAACTGACAACATTTTTCATAATTACATTTTGTCATTAACATTTTTAAAGAAAACTCTAACTTGCGCAAAGTTCGTATCTCGAATTTTGCTGGTATGTCAAAACAAATGAGATGCTCCTTCGGGGGCTCATATCTCGATACACTCGTATGTAAGGTCACTCGTATATCAGGTCACTCGTATGTCGGGGTTACAATATATTTGGAAAACGATATGAGACATGCAATAAACACTTTAGTTGATATTATTTTATATTTATAGGATCCAATATCAACATATCTCAGATGATAGCTTGCGTAGGTCAACAGGCCATAAATGGAAAGCGAGTTCCAAATGGTTTTGAAGATCGTGCGTTACCTCATTTTGAGAAATTTTCAAAAAATCCAGCTTCAAGAGGTTTTGTGGAAAATAGTTTCTTTTCTGGTCTTACTCCGACAGAGTTCTTCTTTCACACTATGGCTGGCAGAGAAGGTAATTGCTGCAAAATGTACTTGATTAATATCATTTATTATTATTTTTTTTAAAAAAGTATCAAATTTATAATCAAATATTCATATTTAGATAGAATAGAATATGTAATAGTTTGCTAAACCATGTATTCTTCAGAAACCACAATAACATGAATATTTAGAAGACACATTAACATGAATATTTTCATACAGCTGTATAGTTAATATAGATTTTCATTTATTGACTAATAGCTTATTGATTTAATAATAGTATTGTATTTCAAATAGGTCTTGTTGATACTGCTGTCAAAACAGCTGAGACGGGTTATCTTCAGAGACGTTTGGTTAAATGTTTAGAAGATATAGTGGTACATTATGATAACACTGTTCGAAATGCTGTTGGTCAAGTAGTGGAATTTATTTATGGAGGAGATGGATTGGATCCAGTTTATATGGAAGGTAAAAGTTACCTTCTTAAGTCTTAAAACTCGAAAAATATTTAAAAAACTTGTTTCCTGGATAACTTTTATTTTACATTGTTAACCTTTTCGCTACGAGTGTCGCTTACAGGCCACGTCCGCTTGACTGTATGTACAGGTGTACGGGTATATAGACAATATGCATTGTGTAGGCCTTTGCTTCGATTTATCACTCTGAGTTAAATTACTGTTTTTTTTTTGTTTTTTTTTTGGAAGGTAATAGATTCCATTAAATACATTTTTAACTTGTTTCTCAAAAAATGTGCTATTAACTTCCCGTAGGGTAAGTTATTGTAATGGGCCGAAAATCGGAATTGAAATTTTTTACATTTCTCGACGTTTTGAAGGTTTCTGAACGTTTTGGCATACCTCAGAAAAAATGGATGTGTGTGTGTGTGTGTGTGTATGTATGTATGTTTGTATGTGTGGATACAAATTTCCAGTCACGTTTTAGGGCGCACTGATCAACCGATTTGAATGGTTCAAAAAACATTCGATTTCTATTGATAGGGAAAAGAGCTGATTAGTTTTTGGCGAAGGCAGGTCCAGTCGTTTCGGAGATACGGAGCAAAGAGTGCAAAAAATAGAAATCGACTTTTTGAGAGAACGGAGTATCCGATTTGAATGATCTAAAAAACATTCAATTAGTAATGATTGGGAGAAGTGTTTATTAGTTTTTGGCAAAGGCAGGCCCAGCCATTTCGAAGATACGGAGCTAAATATGTAAAAAAAGGCGGTTTTTAGAGAACTAAGCGTCCGATTTAAATGATTCAAAGAACTTTCTGCTTGTCTTAACAAAATAATTGATTTTGAAAAAAAAAATTGTATCATTTTTTTATTTTTTTTTTTTTTGTTATTTTTGTACATCGAAAATAATTCAGATTTTATTTTTATTCTGACTAAAGTTCTAATATAACTTAAACAAATAATTTTAATTTTGCAATTCAGTTTATATAATTCTTATAAATATTACACAATGTTACAATATTTATAATAATCTATTTGAAAACATTCAGTATTCCTTGAACATCTCGTTACGGTACGGGAAGTTCCAGCAATTTGCCTCAAGGCACGATGCCATTCACCCCACTAGTTTAATTTTGTTTTCGGTCACATTTTCTAATAAACTCAGCCGTTTACTGATTTCAAAAATTTAAGTCATTCGATGTATCCCAATAAGAATTTGCGTTGATTAGCGCAATGATCGGCCAAGCCGTTTCTTTGTAATTAGCAAAAAAGTGAAAACATTTTCGTTCACATTTTAGCTCGCAATTCTGAATCGATTTTAAAAATTCAAAATTCAAAAAAGCTATTGGATTAAACTCGATAAGGAGGAGCCGCGATTAGGTTTGCAAAACGACCGGCCAAGCCATTTCATTGAAATTATAAAAAAAAATTTCTTTTACAAAATAATGTATGGAATTATAAATTGTTTTGGCGTTTTTAATAAATTTGATATGGCGATAAAATTTATGCACTGAACACTAAACATTTCTACGAAAATTGGTTGAATAATATAGATTTATTAAAATGTAGAATTATGGGCGCTTATTATTTTAGTACATATAAGCACTTCTTTGTGCACTATAAATAATAGAATTAAAACACTCACGAATGTGTTTGAGAGGTATCAATTGAAAATGGCAATATTTTGTTCTTAGTGAAAGAGAAAACTTTATTTTAGAAACAAATTGTTATTTCATCTAAATAGCTAAATCTCAATTTTGGTTGATTAAGTCTATTATTACACATATCAGGTTTATGCATCTTGCCTTAAAGTAATAATGCAACTTACACCTCTTTGTTGATGATACCCACACATACTTTTTTCTAATTTATATGTTAAACTGCAGAATTAACGAAAATATATGTTGGATGTTAAAACTGAAGAATTAACAAATTATATTTTTTGTCAAAAATATATATTTTTTCTTTGGCATGTTAATAAGGATAATTTTCTATTATCTTGTCAGTTTTATTTTACTATGAATTTTATTTTAATTAATTTTTTTCAGGAAAGGACAGACCTGTTGATCTGAGTAGAGTTCTGGAAGACGTTAAAGCCAGAAATCCATGTAGAGATGAACCAACACTAAGATACAATGAAATATTAGATTATTATAAAGAACTTATTAGCAGTTCAGATTATGATTGTTTAAGTGAAGATTTTAAAAAAGAACAACTAGCATTTGTCCATGACGTTGCAGAAAACGTACAAAAAATTCAACAAAAGTATGGTCTTAATTTAATAGTCACTAGAGAATTGGAGAGGTTAACTAAAGGTGATTCTATTTACTGTGATACTCCGACATACGAGTTTAATTCGTTCTATAATTACACTCGTATCTCGAAACAATTTTTTCCATATAAATAGGGTTAACACGGCACTCTGTGTGCGCGGTTCCCATATTACGCGGAGCTAAAAATCCGACATCCCTTCGACTACACGGACTTTCTATTACACGGTTTTTGTTCAACAGCCCATACGTTCCTTGCGCAACCTATGAGTGATTATAGGGACTTGATATCAAAAGGGTATTAATGTAAGTTTTGTTATCGACTTCTATCTTTTAAACATGCCTGATTATATAAAAGCTGTCTAAGAACACGTTTGAACTGACTACTGCGTCGCGCCAATTTTTGAATGAGAGTTGTCTATGTCATACATGCAATTTCGTCCGTATTACTCTTACTTCAAGTTGTATTTTTTGGCCTCCATACAGCACGATAAAAATGGTGCGATTTGTACTAACTCTGAGTCTCTCATAGCACGGTTCCCATACTGCACGGTACGAACTTGCCGCGTTAACCGAGGGTTGACTGTACATTGAAATGGCTTTAATTCGTACCAGCACTGTGATTTTTTATCAATTTTTTTGAATACTAAAAACAAATTTACTATTTATTAATAAATTATTGTTTTTTTCTGTTTTCCATTTATGATATTGTGGAAATCAGTTATACATGTTTTTAACCCATGGTTATAAAAGTAAACTATTTTGTAAATATACAAATAACATAAATTCATCATATATAACTGTACAATTACTGTTAATGTATAGTCAAAATTTCAAACGTTAAAATAGTCCTGGATATATTCGCGTGGGTAAATCGCTACTGCACAATTAACTCATTACAGACGAATTAAATTTTGAGATGGGTATCATAGTACTCGCAATTATTTTCCGTCGATTGAACAGAACACGCAGCTTGTAAACAACATTTGATAATTGTTTTGTAAACTTTAGATATATTTTAATTTAATACATTTATTTAGAATTGTTATTGTATAAAAGTAATGTTTTCTAATCACTGCATGCTGTATGAATGCTTGCAGATGACGATTCGTATAGTTCGTTATGTGGTGGCTGAGAGTGGATGAACGACCGAAAAGGGTTAATATTGATATATAACACGTTGCGACACTAAATTTTTTTCTTGTGATGTTATGATGGTTCCGAAAACAGTAACAGAAATTTGCTAACAGCTCTAGTTTTTGAGACATGACAATATGAAAGTTTTACCTCAAATTACAATAAAAAACCAACATATTTCATTTCATGCTTTCAAAATTCTTTCTATATTATTTTCTAGCATGGACAAGGCTTGACTGATTTTGTCATAAGCTCCAACAATTGTCAGCCATCATGTGGATATCCCATCTTCCTTGATATTGCTTCTCCAAAGTCCTGATGTCTTGGTGGATACTCTCACCCTGCTCTTTGCTAATATCTCCAAATTTTCCAAAAACCGTTCTGAATAAGAGTGCGGGTGATAAACTCAAATCAATTACATAAAATATATCAGTTTTTAATTCTTCTTGTCTTCTCTAACTTTGGCTTCTGCATCCATTATTTGGTAGGCAGTAGATATTGATGTTCTAGGTTGTTCATAAGTTGTCCTCAATGCCATTGTGGTTGTGGTTTATGCCCATTTGCTTCTATTGTCTGAATTTATTTCATTGGTATTTACCACACAGAGGAAACAATTGTCATAGTGATTCTGGGGTTTTTTCTAAATGATGCGGACATTAAAATTATAGCCTTTTTTGATAATAACGTAAACACACTACGTAATTTTTTCACATAGTATGAACCACCCACGTTTTATCTTCATTGCGCAATTCAGTTTTAAAGTTGTTGAAATACTATATTTTTACGCAGTTAGACATAGGTTTCCGGTATTTGTCGAAAACATATTAATCACAGATGTAACAAAAACTATCTGAATTATGCACACAACGTCTTAGAGTCGAAGCCATATCAAACAGCAGATAAAACTTTTATTAACTTCCTGTAGGGAAAGTTATAGTAATCGCAAAAAAATCGAAAATGAACATTTTACGTTTCTATAAGTTTTTTACGTTGTACGCTTTTATATATCTTTCGGTTTCTGAATATTTTGGCATACCTTAGAACAAATGGATGTGTGTTTGTATGTATGTATGTATGTATGAATGTATGTGTATGTGTGTATGTATGTATGTATGTGTGTGTGTGTGCGCGTGGATACAAATTTTCGTCGACGATTTCGGGGCACCGATCTGATTTAAATAATTCAAAAAACATTCGATTCGTATCGATAAGGAGATTAGTTATTGGCGAAAGGAATGTCTGACCGTTCCGAAGATAACGGGCAAAAAGAGTAACTCAGTTTTTAAGAAAATGGGGCCGATTTTAATAATTCAAAAAACATTTTACTTGTATTGACAAGATGAACTGATTAAATTTTTGGGAAGGCAGGTCTAGCGGTTATGGACTCTCAATAAAAATAATTTAAAAAGTCATTTGGCGGTCAAAAATGTTTACTGGACTTTGCACATCAAATTATCAGATATTTTATAGAGATTTTCATAATGTGTACACATTTTGTGTAATTTTTTTTGGGTTCCGTACCAAGATTTTTAATTACGGTACGGGAAGTATCATGCACCCCACTAGTTTATTCTTTAAACTGCAATAATTATAGGCGAAATGACTAATGGGGGTAGCCCCCTAGTCAAAAACTGGAGCTGTTACGAAAAAACGGAAGGTATATTTGAAATCAGCGTGCAACTCTAAGTGGATTTAAAAATAAAGTTTGAGGAAAAAAATAAAGGTGTCATTTTTGTCGCGCAGAGATTGATATGACTAACTATAAATTAATTTACTATTATAGAACAGCCAAAATATTATTACAACTGATGAAATATTTCATATTGTCACTTTGCCATTAATATTTTCGAGAAAACTTACTCGCTCAAAGCTCTTATCTCGAATTTTGCTCGTATGTCGAAGCAATAACATGTTTCAACATGTCAGGTAATTCGTAAGTCGGAGGTTCCATACATAATATAAATAAATGTTCTTTGTTATGTCTATCATTGAAATTTTTATATGTAGTTGAATCTTGAGTTCTCTATTATTTTGTAGGGCAATTAAAAGTATTTATGGAAACGTGTAAAGTCAAATTCTTGCGTGCTAAAATTGAGCCAGGAACAGCTATAGGTGCACTGGCTGCCCAGAGTATAGGTGAACCTGGTACACAGATGACATTGAAAACTTTTCACTTTGCTGGTGTTGCTTCTATGAACATTACTCAGGTAAATATCTAACATATTTATTTGAATATTTAAAGTATAGTTATTACACATTTATTTGGTGCTATTTTACTTAAAATGATTGTTTTAAAGAATGACTTTTAATTGATAGTTAATTATTATAGGGTGTACCTCGTATTTTAGAAATAATCAATGCAAGTAAAACGATCTCAACACCTGTTATATCAGCTGAATTAGATAATAATACTGATATGGAATTTGCATTTCGTGTTAAAGGTAGGATAGAGAAGACTACACTTGGAGAGGTAATAAATTTCTACTTCATAAATATTTTATTTTTGCTTGTTTAATGAATATTATAGATTTTCATTATCTTGTTGTTTTATTATAGATCACATCATTTATTCAAGAAGTTTATAGGGGTGATGAATGTTATTTGGTGATTCGGTTAGACATTGATAGAATTCGTATTTTAAGATTAGAATTGGATGCCAATACTATTAAATATGCGTAAGCATTTACTAATTTTAGTTCATACAATTTATTCAATTACTATTAAATTCTATGTTCTATATGAACCTACGTGTGTCTTCGCATTATGTATTAATTTTCTGTAAGCTGTTGATTGTTTTTTTTGAAAAGAAATTTATATTATTTTTAGGCTCTGTACTGGTGAAGCTAAATTGAAACCTGGAAATGTAACAATTCATGGTCCGTCATTACTTGTTGTACGGCCTGACATGAATAAGCATTCGACAGAATTAAATATAGAACTTCAAAGGCTGATGGACGTTGTACTTAGAACTGTTGTTATAGGTTTGCCTTCTACATCCAGAGCAGTAGTGGCTAGAGATGATGGAAAGGTTTGTTATATATATATATATATATATATATATATATGTTTAATTTGAATTTAATAATCGGGCGTAACATCAATAAAAATAGTATGAGTTTTTTTAAAAATTTATTTATTTAAAATCCATACGTTTCGGCTAGCATCTTAGCCATCATTCAGTGGTAATCAAGTTAACTATAAAAATTGAAACTAAATAAATATATGAAAGGAAATTTGTGGAAAAAACAATAATAATAATAATAGTAATAAAACACTTACAATTTTGTATCCTAATATAGCATATGAAACCATTATTAATCCATGGTATGAGTATGTGCACATTGATAAGATATATATTTTTTAACACAAACATCACAAATGGTAAAACACACTAATAATCATGATAACTTAACAAGTTGTCGAAACTATGTATTTACTCTTTGGAGTTTAGGATAGAAATGTCACATTTTTCTCAAAGCAGTTTTTAGCATGTGTTGATATTTTTTGGAAAATTTAAAAGGCGATGGGATTTTGTTATTTTTTAAGGAATTTTGACACGCTATTAAGAAACCACGTGTTCGTTTCGATAAGGGCCGTATTGTCATTGCGTTTATTTATGACTCTGTCGTTATGTAATTGTAAAAACAACCCCTCAGCGAATCTTCTTTTAATTGTATTCTCTTCAAAATGTAAAATTTTAGGGTTAAAAAAATCGATATTATGATTTAAATTTTTAATATGCTCAGTTAACATTGTTTTAAATTGCTTAGGATTTTTTGAATTATTTTTGTGTTGATTAAGGCGTTTACTCAGGTTTTGGCTAGTTTCTCCAATATAAAAGAGTTCGCAATTAGAGCAATTAATTTGATATACTAAATTCCTGAGGCGGTCAAAATTGAACTTAGATTTCATTTGTGTAAAAATTGAACTAAGGGTTGCATCACAATTACATACCAACAGAATGCCACATTGTTGAAATAACTAAACGAAAATAAAACTCCAAAGAGTAAATACATAGTTTCGACAACTTGTTAAGTTATCATGATTATTAGTGTGTTTTACCATTTGTGATGTTTGTGTTAAAAAATATATATCTTATTAATGTGCACATACTCACACCATGGATTAATAATGGTTTCATATGCTATATTAGGATACAAAATTGTAAGTGTTTTATTACTATTATTATTATTATTGTTTTTCCACAAAATTTCCTTTCATATAATTTATTTAGTTTCAATTTTTATAGTTAACTTGATTACCACTGAATGATGGCTAAGATGCTAGCCGAAACGTATGGATTTTAAATAAATAAATTTTTAAAAAAACTTATACTATTTTTATTGATGTTACGCCCGATTATTAAACTCAAATTAAACATATATATCAACATCAAATTCAAGACTATTCAAATATATATATATATATATATATATATATATATATTTAAATTCTTAGAAAGAAGTCTTGGATTTGTAAATATTTTGTAGAGCTTCGAACAAAGAATCCAAAAAGCAACCTGTTACATGATTCTTATTTAAATTTTTTTCACTTTTTGACAAATAATTAATATCAACATTCATTTAAGATCAATAATTTAAATATTTACATCCTGATATATAAAAAAAAGAGTAAATACATAGTTTCGACAACTTGTTAAGTTATCATGATTATTAGTGTGTTTTACCATTTGTGATGTTTGTGTTAAAAAATATATATCTTATTAACACACTATATGCGGGCCCCGTAAAAATACTCGTCAGACCAAACTGATATGTGTAGCGGGCAAATCGCTTGCTCGATACGAGTGCTCTTTCCGTCGCCTCGCATGAACACAACTGGCTGTCACATTGAACATATTTTTTATAACTCTTTTTTTTTAAAAAAAAAGCCGTCTGGTTGTTTTGAACTATAAAAAAATTATTTAATTAATGCATAATTAAACATAAAACTAACAAAAACTAGTGGCGTATGGTATCGTGCCTTAAGGCAAATTGCTGAAACTTCCTGTACCATAACGAAATGTTCGAGGAATATTGAGTATTGAATGAAATATTTTTTTTCCTAAAGCAATTGTTATGTCAACACTATCAGAATGTTTTTTGAATCATTCAATTCGGATGGTTATTTCTCTCAAAAACTACCATTTTGTGTACATTTAGCTCCGTATCTTTGAAATGGCTGAACCTGCCTTTGCCAAAAACTAATCACCACTTCTCCCAATCATTACTAAATTAATGTTTTTTAGATCATTCAAATCGGATGCTCCGTTCTCTCAAAAACTCGATTTCTATTTTCTGCACTTTTTGCTCTGTATCTTCGTAACGGCTGGACCTGCGATTGCCAAATGTTTTTTGAACCATTCAAATCGGTTGATCCGTGCGCCCGAAAACGTGAACGAAAAAATGCGGCCACCAAAAACACCACGCACACACAGACACATCCATTTTTTCTGAGGTATGCCAAAATGTTCAGAAACCTAAAAACCGTAGAAAAATGGAAAAATTTTCATTCTTGATTTTCCGCCCATTACGTAATGGGCGGAAAATCAAGAATGAAAATTTTTCGATTTTTCTAGGTTAGTTATAACTAACCTATATATAGTACTATATATAGGTTAGTTATAACTAACCTACGAAAAGTTAAAAATTTAACGTACAATAGATATATAAACCACTTTTTACATACGTGAAATTTATGGAAAAAATCACCCCTTATGAAGAGGTGCTGGGGCCCGAATAGCAAAAATAGCTGAACTACTTTAATTAAACTATTTGGTTTCAAAACAACGCAACTTTGACCTAAAAATGATTCAATAATTGGAGGATTGTCAAATTCTGACCACTTCACTTCTTCATTGTCATTATTTCCAGAATCTCTGGAAATAATCGGTAAAACTCTACGTCTTCTAGGATGAAAAAAATCTTCATCCACATACACTACCAAAATCAGTAATATCAAAATCACTTCCAATTTGTGATAAATTATTGGCGCAAACTTTACTATCGCTATCCGATGCCACTATTTCATTATTGCAAATAACAATGTAAAAAAGAGTTGAACTATACAAATCTGACTAATAACTAAAATATTTGATAAAATATATATTAACACCTTTTTATTGTTGTAAATTCTGCATATTTATTTACAAAACAAATTGCGAGTAGCTTGAATGAAAAGAAACTTGAAGATGAAACATATTGTTTCTTATCCTTATTCTTATTCTAAAAGTCTTTCAATACGTAAATCAATTGAATCTAGAGAAAAGTATCAGCTATTCTTTCAATATCATATGCAAACCGATCACATAAAAGTATTTTGACTCGCTTTTAAAGTTAGTCTATTGAAAGCGTAATAATACCTTGCCCGCCGATAAGCAACAGTCCTCGCAGAGCGTAATTTTACGGGGCCCGCCTATAGTGTGTTAATGTGCACATACTCATACCATGGATTAATAATGGTTTCATATGCTATATTAGGATACAAAATTGTAAGTGTTTTATTACTATTATTATTATTATTGTTTTTCCACAAAATTTCCTTTCATATAATTTATTTAGTTTCAATTTTTATAGTTAACTTGATTACCACTGAATGATGGCTAAGATGCTAGCCGAAACGTATGGATTTTAAATAAATAAATTTTTAAAAAAACTCATACTATTTTTATTGATGTTACGCCCGATTATTAAACTCAAATTAAACATATATATCAACATCAAATTCAAGACTATTCAAATATATATATATATATATATATATATATATATATATATATATATATATATATATATATTTAAATTCTTAGAAAGAAGTCTTGGATTTGTAAATATTTTGTAGAGCTTCGAACAAAGAATCCAAAAAGCAACCTGTTACATGATTCTTATTTAAATTTTTTTCACTTTTTGACAAATAATTAATATCAACATTCATTTAAGATCAATAATTTAAATATTTACATCCTGATATATAAAAACAACATGCACACATATACACACAGATTTTAAGTCAAGTGGTTCTTCTTAAAAAATTCATCCGTTCAATAATCAGTTTGCTACCAAATAATCTTCCTATAACATAGAGGGAATAATACTTTTTGTCTTACATAACAAACTCAAAAAAGCCATAATTTAAAAAATTACAAAATTACAAAATTACAAAATTTTGTTTCTTTGTCTGTATAAAATCACATTTTTTTATAAAATTTTTTTAGTGAACTTTTTTAACATTTTTTATATTTTGTTATACAATCCACTCATTTCTTTTTATCATTTTTATTTTTATTCTATTGTCCTAGTTTTGTACATTATTTCTTCCACAATTTTTATTCATTTTATATAAGAAACATTATTTCTGTACATTATTTTTTCCACAATTTTATTCATTTTATATAAAAAAAACATCATCTTCTGCTTTTCTTAAACATATCGTTTGCTTAAATCTTATCAAGATCATGTTTCATGATAGATGTATTATTCGGAACGTACCTAGTTCCGAAACGTCGACAGTAAATAAATAAAAAAATGTATATATATAATAAACCACTTGGATTGATTATTTTACAGGGTCTCGTTGAAACATACACGCTTTGTGTCGAAGGGTATGGTCTACGAGAGGTCATGGCGACTTACGGGGTAAATGCTAAGAAAACCAAATCCAATAATGTTTATGAAGTATACACAACATTGGGAATAGAAGCAGCGAGGTCTACAATTATAACAGAAATCACTAAAGTCATGGAAGGACATGGAATTAGTGTAGATTTTAGGTAAATCTCTTATAACAATTTGCAAATATTTTTAGATTATTATTATTTTTGGTATTGTAAATATGCATTCAATAAGGAAAAAAATTTTTAATACTTTTGCTTAACTACTAACTAAATGCCACAATTGAAATATTATATATTATCAGATTTTACAAAAGTTTTAGTATATTATTGAAGGAAGGAAGCTTGTTTTTACATAAAGGTCTGATGTGCTATTTTTATGTCTGTACGATATATGTCACTCTGATTTGGAAAAAAAAATGTGTCTATGTATGTGAACCGATGTTTCACCTTTTGTAGAAGTTTTCTCGAAAACGGCTTCACGGATTACAAAAATTTAAGAGCCAGTCGATGTAAATTGGTAAGGACTCGCGTTTATCAGTTTTGCGCGAGGATCGTTCAAGCCGTTTCTTTGTAATTAGTAGAAAAGTGCAAACTATTTGGAAAATATTATTTGGGAATCGAACTGATTAGTTTTTGGTAGAGATCTGTCGGGTCGGTGAATTGTAATTTATTGTTGAATTTTATCGGTAGAGTTCCTGTTTTCAGGAAATAGTAAAATATTAGAGGGCTACGACAAATGGTTTAATTACAAACATTGAATAAGTCTTGAATTAATCGGACACACTTTTAAAAAATACTCCGTGTATGTAATAGGCGTGTGTTCTATAATTTTTAGTAATGTGTAATATTCAAATCATTTGTCGAAAACTAACATCCAAATTAAATAACCTGCAATAGTTTCTCATTATATAAACCTTTACAGCAACTCTGTATACTTAAAAATCACTCATCAATTTATGTATTGACTTTGTATTGATATTATTTACACATGTCAGTTTAAAACAATTGGCCTTGAGGCTAAATGCTATTTAAACCTATTTATTAATATGCTTTTTTATTTTAATTATTTTCAGACATATTGAGCTATTGGCTAGTCAAATGACAAGTTCAGGAGAAGTTTTAGGTATTACTAGACATGGTTTAGCTAAAATTCGAGAGTCTGTATTCAATTTGGCTTCGGTAAGTACAATACTTTTTATTTACTCATCCGCAAGAGAATTATCACAAATAACTAATTTATTTTATTTACAAAAATTTTTAATGTGAAATTCTAATTATTGGGTTGTTTGGAGAGTAACTTCTTTTTTTTATTTCGTATTTTGGCACGCAATTTTTGTACAATAAACAATTACTTTAATAAATTATGTTTTGACATTGGTATTAGTTTTGATCGAACATCTTTTTTCATATTTCTGGTATTAGCATAAATCCGAGAACCTAATTTTTTTTTGTCGTTATTGGCAAAAAACTGATCATAGTGCGTTTTGACATGCTGATTTGAGGTAAAGGTTTCACTGCCTAAAATTTTTTTTAGTGGCCGGAACAGATAATGGTCCGATGACGGGAGGTCTGGAGAATATGATGAATGTGTTATTGGGTCCCATACAAGCTTTAAAAGCTTCTGGCGATTGACCAAACTTTTGTGAGGTCTTGCGTTATTTTGATGAAGGACTGTACCTTGTTGTGGGTAAATTCTGACCTTTTCTGTTGAAGTATATCATTTATCCAAATGAACCGTTATGTTATCCTGGTAAAGCATAAAAATGAACAACTCCTTTAAAATCTTACCAAAGATACTGCATCATCTTTTTCTGGCAATTTTCAGCTTTGTACCTGCTTTCAGGAGGTTCTTCTTTTTTTCATTATGGGCAGTTGCATGTATTGTATTCTTTACATCCCGTTTGTCATTCGTAGTGACAATTCGCTTCAAAACCTGATAATTTTCAAGACTTTTCAGAAGCGAATTGCGTACGCCAGTGCGACGACACAGGTTTCTTTCTATGAAAACCATACATTGAGCTTCGAGGAAAATTTCAGACCTTTTGAATGAACATGAACTGTAAAATCTAATAAATTTTTACTCAATAGGATTTCATGTATTGTTATTCGTCGGTTTGCATCAACTAATATCTTTCTCGTGGCTTTATCAGCTTCAACCGTACTTCTTGGACTTGGTGCATCCTGGGCATCAAAATGCCAGGAATTAAATTTAACAAACCAATTTTGGCACTGTCGTACTACCAACATATCATTTATGTACACTTTGGTCAATTTCATTTAGACTTGAACAGTTTTTTTTTACCTTTTCTATAGCTAAAGAGTAAAATATGTCGAAAATGCTGCTTAATTCTTTCCGAATTCAAAGTGGCACCATCCAAAAACTAGTGCATGTAATTGATTATAATTTTTTACATACATGCCTTAAAATATAAGTTTTCAAATAATATAATAATTATAAGGCTTAATTGTGATGTTAGGTTCAAAAAAATATAGTTAAATTCTGGTGGTAAAAAAACGGAGTGACTTACCGAACAACCTTATACTTATTCAATTTAAAGTTTTCCAACATTTCATACTAGTTTACTGACATTAATCCTGATTTCAGTTCGAAAAAACAGCTGATCATCTTTTTGATGCAGCATATTATGGCCAAACTGACTGCATAAACGGCGTTTCAGAAAGAATTATTATGGGTATGCCTGCTCCAATCGGCACTGGTATGTTCAAATTAGTACATGATCATGGTAATGTAAGTAATATGGAATTGCGATCTACTTTGTTTCATGATCTCGCTGGCGAGTAAGTGTATTTCAGATTTATTTATAAACGTAAAGACGTTCATCAGGTTTTACAATTTGTGTTAGGGATGTTCAAGATGAGAAATATACTTTTTGCTATGTTAAATTGACGAATTGTTCGTTTATTTTATTATAGTAAATATCTTGCCTGTGATTTTTCTGTATAACTTGTATAAGTGAATATATATGTATATAATTTTGTAATAAATTAGCTATAAAATATGAAGTTTTTGTAATTTAACTAGTTGTAAGTGACATTTTGTCTTAATGAAAGTTGCATGAACTTTCTGATATGTGTAAACAATTAATTTAATTAATAAGAAATCAATAAATTAATTTATGAGAGATTTATAAGTATATTCAGTTGTATATTGAATTTTTGCACTTTTCTGCTAATTCTAAAGAATCTAGTCGGCTTATCGTATCCAAAAACTAACAAACGCAAGTGCTTATCAAGTTTCATAGAATGGCTTTTAATTTTTTTAAATCGGTTCAGCTGTTTTTGAGAAAACGTCGACGAAAGGTCAAGAACCATCTTACATATACACACACATACTTTTTCTAAATTTGGTCACATTCGATTCAGAATCACTTGAAACGTTGAGGAATCGTAAAATTAGCAAATTGGAACTTCCCGCAAAAACATAAACCTTCGGGAAGTTAAGAACAATTTTGATAATTACATATTATCAGTAAAGGACTTGAAAACTTATATACTTTGACATCGGATTTTTCATTTTATAAGCCTGTAAATTTGTGAAATCACAAAACATTTTTTTGTAAAAGTCGTTCGTTTATTTTGCATACAAAATAATACATGGCTTTTTCATATGCGGAACTTATATCTAGAAGTACATTATAACAATATACATAAAATTTAAGGCTGCAATATAGTATATGATTATTTTACAAAAATTATATTTGTAAATTATTCTTGGCAAGTTTTGCAAATATATTCAAAATCGACTTATATATCCGTTTAAAACAATCACATGTAATTTTTTTTAAAACTTAAAATTATCCGGACGTAAAGCGTGGTAACTTTTCTAATGGTAACTTTGTTACATGTTATTTGGAGTATTACACTTACAATAGTAATAATTGCACTTACGGATAAAATATCATACTTTTCAAGGATATGATTCTCTTCATATTATTGAGTGTTTATTCAATTTATTGTTGAATATTTATTATGAAAAAAAAATCTTAGAAATAATTATAAATATACAAATATGACTTATCTAAAATTAAATAAATGCAAAAGTTAGGTTTTTATGTCTTTATAGCATTTAGAACAATAATAGATTAATATATAAAGTTTGAGGGTATTTTTGACCATTAAGAATTTTTACATCAATGCCCAATGTTACGTAAGTATTCTTAATGGACCCGCAAATGTGAAACTCTTGTACAAAGTTATTGATATCCAATGAAATACAAAACATGTAAGTTTTTTCTGAAATAATTGGTAAATTGTAGCTTTACATTATATAATTATATACATTTTTTGAAATTATGACCAAATTTACCTAGCCATTATGTGATCTACATCAAGTCATTTATGGCAATAAGCATTATTGTTCTATATTTTAAAAAAAGTTTGTTTTTCTGCTAAAAATACATCTAATTTACTATATTTTTTATATTAAAAAACCAAGAACATTATTTTTTTCGTTCTAATTTTGATGATTTCGAACAGTATTTTAAATTATTCTATTGATAAATGGCGTCATTACTGCTCTTCGATTTAATCGTGTTCTTGTTTTTTTTTCTCTATTTATTGTTATTATTAGCTATATTTTCACGTGTCTAACCCGAACTTGGAGGAAGATACTGCCTGTCTGGGCCGTCTGGTTTTGGTGGAAAGCCTGGACGTTGAGAGCTGGGCGTTGGACCGGCTGGTGCTGGTGGAAAACCTCCAGGTCGTGGGGGTTGTGCTCCGGGGAAACCTCCAGGACTTGAAGGTCTGGATGGGAGCGATGGTGTGCCTGGTGTGCCTGCATTAAGTTGTTATTAAATGAATTGTAATTTTATATTTCATGGCTTAATATTTATCACTTTTTTTATTATTCAAGTAAAAAATAATTATACTAGTACTAACCGGGACTTCCCGGTGCTCCGTAACTTGTTGATGGCCGACTTGTACCTGGGTATCCAGAACCGCCTGGAGCTCCTGGACTTCCTGGTGTACCTGGTCCACCCGGACCTCCTGCGCAATCATAAACGTGTTAAAAGTATATAATATTAGATTTATCAACACGTTCTTGGAATGTAAGCTTTACCTTGTCCTCCCGGTCGACCGCCGCTTGGAAAACCACCTGGAACGCCCGGACCTCCTGTACCTCCTGCAATTCCTGGACCACCAGGTCCACCTAATAAAATGGTATTTATTATCATTTTTAAACAAATGCGATTAAAACTTTTTAAATACAATATTCTTATTAAAACTTCACAATATCACACTATGTTACTAACCTGGTACACCATACCCCGTTGAAGGTCTGGTTGGGAATCCGCCTACACCCCCTGGTCCTCCTTGTCCTCCAGGGAATCCTGGTCCACCTGCACCTGGAAAATTATTACAAATAAGTATTTTTAAATTAAAACTTTTTGGGTACGTCTATTATAAACAATATGATTTACTCATGTTAAACTGTGTTTTTTACCTGGTCCACCTGGTCGACCTCCGCTTGGGTATCCACCTGGACCTCCCGGGCCACCTGGCCCACCACTACCTCCTGGTAATACAAATAATTGAGGAATATTTCGATTTAAAATAGTTTTTTTTCATACTACTATACTTACTTATTTACTACTATACTTATTTTGTTTGATGATCAATAATATATGCAGATATTTAAGCAAATTTACCTGGAGTTCCGTAACCAGTTGATGGTCTACCGCTACTTGGCGCTCCTGGACCGCCTTGACCACCTAGAAATTAATATAGCCTTTACTTTTTCTGAATAAAATAACGACATTTAATAGTAAGGTTAACTTATCGAACCTGGTGCACCATAACTTGTTGACGGTCGCGTACCTGGTGTACCTGGACCACCTGATTTACCAATATAATAAAAAACAATTTATATTTTGTTATTAGTAAAATATTATATTTGATGTTAATTTCTCATGTCTTACCTGAACCACCTGGCCCGCCTGGTCGACCGCTTGGATAACCGCTCGGGCCTCCAGGGGCACCTATTTTATTGAAAAACTCGGATTAGTAGTAATATAGTAATTTATCATAACTCTGTTCTAAAAGCAGCTGTACTCTTAAATATACATTTATATTCCTAACCTGGACTACCAGGAGAACCTCCAGTTGGATAAGTTCCTGGACCACCTGGAGCTCCTTGGCCTCCTAATTGAATTGCATAATCTATTATGTATTAATGTATAAAGTACTTGGATTAACGCAATTTTTGAATAGTATTAGAATCGTATAATTTTAAATGTAGTTGTTTTAATTTCTAGTGTTAGCATGATGGACAATTCGAATATGTGATCTTTGAACAACCTGGTGTGCCATAACTTGGGCTTGGTCTTCCTGCACTTGCTGGACCTCCAGGACCTCCTGGGCCGCCAAATCCTCCAGGACCTCCTGGACCCCCAAATCCTCCAGGACCACTCGGGCCGCCAGGACCTCCTAAAGTAGTTGAATAAATAATTTCCAGTGCCCAAAGAAAATGGAATTATTAGTATTAATTAAAATGCAATTTTGACAAACCTGGTGCTCCGTAGTCATGCTGGGACGTCGCCGCTAGGAATCCTCCTGGTCCACCTAATGCAACTTACTGTATAGATAATATTATTATATTGTAAATTGCATCTCAACATGCAGACTGTTAACATCTCCAGTGTACATTATAGTTATTACTTATAGATTTAATATTTGAAAAAATTTAAATGCAGAGTTTCACAGCAATGGATGTAATGTTAATATATCGTGTAAGTTTGCACATGATTTGCAATTAATTATTTATGCGCAGTAGCAAATAACTAAATTTACCTGGTGATCCAGGTTTACCACCAACTCCTCCTGGTCCTCCTACGCCGCCTAAGTTGATTATATTATATTAGATTTATATTATTATTTAACATAAAATGTATTCCAGGATAATATTTTTATACCTGGCTGTCCGTAAGTAGAGCTTGGTCTACCGCCGCTTGGATATCCTGGGGCACCTGGGTATCCTTGACCACCCGCTCCTCCAGGTATTCCTGCAAAAATATTTTCACAAATAATATAAAATAACACACACACACACACACTATATATATATATATTATATATATATGTGTGCATATATATTCGATGTATAAGAAAATACCTGGGCCGCCTGGACGACCGGCAGGACCTGTTGCTCCGCTTGGATATCCACCTGAAGGACCTGGTGCTCCGCTTGGATATCCCCCTGAAGGACCTTGGGAACCGCTGGGAAATCCACCTGAAGGTCCTTGGGGACCACTAGGGAATCCACCAGATGGTCCTTGCGGTCCACTTGGGTACGGACCTTGTGGACCCTTCGAGCCTGACGGAAAGCCCCCGGATGGACCTTGTGGAAATCCGCCTGATGGTCCTTGAGGACCAACTCCTCCTGTAGGAAACCTCCTGATGGGCCAGAACCTCCAACTCCACCTACTCCTCCAATTCCACCTGTGCCGCCAGTCCCACCTACACCACCGACGCCTCCAATTCCACCTGTGCCACCAGTGCCGCCTACACCACCGCTTTGGTAACTTGGCGCCTGACTGGGTAGCTAGGTTTGTATCCCATTTGGGAATAGTCATAGATATTTGCATTATTTCCATATAACCCTGGTGCTGAGGAGCAATCGAATTGATACCACCAAACACACACAAGATGTTCCTGGCTGAAGATAGTGCCATTTGGACATATGAAGTCATAAGTTTTGTTATTTGCGCAAATATGGAAAATTTGACAATTTGCTTCGACGTCTGCGTAATAGCCAGGATATTGTTGGCTATCACATGTAAAAGATGTTTGGAAAATTTCTGTGAATACCGGATAATCCGTTCCAGGTTCTCCGGGTATTGCGCTATAGTCTCCTCCTTCATATTGTCCGTCATCGGGTGGACCTTGTGGGAATCCACCGGAGGGTCCTTGAGGAATCCTCCTGATGGACCTTGCGGAAAACCACCAGATGGTCCTTGCGGAAAACCTCCTGAAGGTCCTTGTGGACCTATTACACCTACACCTCCTACACCGCCCACGCCTCCAACTCCTCCAGCTGTTTTTATTTGATTAATTAATAATTAATTTATATCATTCTACTATAATCAAAATATTGTTTGTTATAGAGAAGACACTTACTTGGGCCACTTGGACCCCCAGAATATGGCCCACTAGGGCCAGGACTTCCAGGTCTGCCCGGGTATCCCGCACCCGGGTACCCGCCACTAGGTCCTGGCGAGCCAGGCCTCCCCGAGGGAAAGCCTCCACTTGGTCCTGAAGGAAATCCTCCACTGGGCCCACTTGGACCGCTAGGATATCCGCCACTGGGACCACTTGGACCACCTATAAACGATAAATAGCAATATTATGTAAGTTTCAATGTTAAATAAACAACTTATTATATATATATATATATATATATAATATATATATTATATATACTTAAGAGAAGTGACATACCAGGTCCAATTCCGCCAATTGTTCCTACACCACCAGGTCTTCCGCTTGGCCCTCCAGGTCCTCCTGGACCACCGGGACCTCCTAAAATGATCCAGAGGTGTTATATAATATCAATTTATATAATAAAATTTATTCAATATCACTCTAATATTTTATACCTGGTCCTACACCTCCTGGTTGTCCGTAAGTAGGACTTGGTCTGCCACTTGTTCCTGGATAACCACCAGCAGGTCCACCTAGAAAATATTGTTTAAATATATTAAGTAAAATCTACGATAGGCTATTTATATTTTTATATGTTACGGACCAGGTCCCCCTGGACCCGCGGGTCCTCCTGGATATCCGCCGCTTGGACCTGCGCTTCCTGGTTTACTTGGGAATCCTCCAGGTCCTACAAAAAGTATAAATTAAAAATATGATGCTACTTTAATAATATTATAAATACATTGGAATTTAGCAGACCTGCAGGATATCCTCCTGGGGCTGGGCTACTTGGTCTACTTGGAAAACCTATATCAAAAAGTTTTTTTTTTACAATAATGAAATATAGTCATTGAAATTAAATAACTAAATTTTAAATTGTGGTGACCTGATTTTATGTTGTAAAAATTTTGTGTTAGCATTATTACTGCAAATCGAAATGAAATATTTACCTGATGGCCCGCCTATTCCACCTGGTCTACTGGTACCCGCTGGGCCACTGGGATATCCTCCTGGTCTCACACCTATGAATTACAATAATCAAACACTATCACTAACATAACGTTTTTATGTTTACTTTTCTATTTTGTACGTGCAGTATATCAATATGTTAATATGCGTTAATAGCGTATTTAAAATGCTGATGATTCTCTACATTCATGTATCATTAGTTTTGTAATTAAACATTTAATAATCATTTACCAGGCCCTGCAGGTCCTGCCGGGCTACCGGGGTAACCTCCACTTGGGCTTGGGCTTCCTGGTCTACCAGAAAATCCGGGACCTGCAAAGTTGATATGTTTTATCGCATGTAAGTTAAGAAATGAAGTATTCATATTGTTTGTTGTAAAAGCAAGTTTACTTTTATATATTTATTGATAAACAGTTTTAATAAATATAATAAAAACACACTAACCGCCGGCTCCTGGAGTTCCTGGTCTTCCGGGGGCTCCTCCAGTACCTAAATAAAATTATAGTCACATTATTTTAATGTTTCTGTATGCTTTTCTTTATGGAATCTCACATTTTATAGTGTTTATATTACTAAACGCCTTATTATTCTTATTATATTATATTTTTTTATAAATTTCAAACCTGGAGAACCAGGATATCCAGGACCACTGGGTCCACCAGGGCCAAATGTTGGACCGGCAGGTTTTCCTGCTGGTGCATAGCCTCCTCCTGGGTATCCTATATTAATAGATAATTTCAATTTAAGATTTGAAAATAATGAGTTTTAATTAAATAAAATTTAGAAATAGAAAGTTAAATTGACAAAATCGCAATTTTAAAAAATCTTACAAACGACATTTTTTATACGTTTTGAAAATATACAAATATATAATATATAAATGTAAAATCTATATAATGCATGTGATTCAAAATATGCACGGCGCACCTGTTCCAGATCCAGGTGTGCTCGGTCGCCCGCCCGGATATCCTGATGGGCCTTGTGGTCCTTGTGGCCCTTGAGGTCCGCCAGGTCTACTACCTGGATAACCTGTACTCGGGCCTGCAGGTCCCGGGCTACCAGGTCTTCCTGGGAATCCACCTGATCCTTCAATAAAAGTATTATTTGATTAATTATTCACTATAATAATATAGCTTTCAACAATATATAATATATAAGAACCTGTTGGTCCACTTGGATATCCACCACTTGTTCCTGGAGTTCCGGGTCGTGATGGACCTGTAATGTTTAGTTTTTGGTAACAGCTTTGAGATATTCTGTTTTTCCTTTATATTTCTATTTTTTTATTTTTACTGTTTTATTGTTAATCGACGATAATTGATTGATTTTGAATAAAAAATGTTTCGATTTATTTGTTCCTATATTTTATCGAATATATTCATAGGAATGATACAAACCTGCTGGTCCACTTGGATAACCGCCGCTTGGCCCTGGACTTCCCGGTCTACTAGGAAATCCACCTGGACATAAAAATATTGGCATGTTATTTTTTTCTGATAAAATTTAAATTTGTTATATTGTTTAAATTTCATACCTCCAGGTGCACTCGGAGTTCCTGGAGTACCGGGCACACTTGGATATCCGGTGCCGGGAGTGGATGGTCGAGATGGGAATCCGGGACCGAATGTTGGGCCGGATGGCTTTCCGGCTGGAGCATATCCACCGCCTGGGTATCCACCTATTAAAGAAGAAATTTAATGAAGTTACACGTTGTTAAAAAATATTAGAAGAAAATATAGGAACCATATTATCTTTATTTTTAAATGCATCTCACCTGGAGCTGATGGTGTGCCTGTACCGCTTGGTCCTCCAGGTCCTCCAGGTCCTCCAGGTCCTCCAGGTCCTCCAGGTCCTCCTGGTCCACTTGGTACACCTGGAACTCCTGGAAAACCGGGACGCCCTGGTGCTCCTGGAATCCTGGCGCTCCAGGAAAACCGGGTCCGCTAGGTCTCCCGCTGGGATATCCACCTGGTGCTGGGCTGCTTGGACGACTTGGAAGTCCTCCAGGTCCTAATATACAATAATTTTAATAAAAAATGTTGGTAGTGCATTGCCAAGCATTTTTATATCCTATATAAGGTAACACTAATTGTAAGTTAATATAGGGAATTGAAACACGTATGAATTATTGAATATTAAATACAATTATTCAATATTTTGTAAATAAATATATTTACTTAATACTAATATACGCGTATATTAGTATCATCAATTATAATATTATATGAATATTTTATTATATTTCTATAAGATTAGGTTTTACTATAATATTAGCATGTTATTAGTTCATTTAATAACAACATTCAGTAAAACATTGCTTTGCATATTTTTACCTCCAGGAAAACTTGGGTTCCGGGTTTTCCAGGACCTCCAGGTAACCTGCGCTTGGTCCTGGTCCACTAGGAAATCCGCCAGGACCTACAGAAAAAAATTTTTGAAAGTAGATTTTTATACTTCCTGATTCAGAGCAGAAATATTTAAAAAATATTTACTTGGTCCACCTGGACCCGCGGGTCCACCAGGAGCTCCCGGATATCCTCCAGTAGGAGTTACTGGCCGAGATGGTCCTGATGCCCCAGGGCCGAAAGTAGGTCCTGTTGGACGTCCTGCTGGTGCATAGCCGCCTCCGGGATAGCCTAAATTTGAAGTACTAATAATTAAGATGTTTAATTTTTAATTGCTTGCATGTAACATAAAATTATATACAATATAAAATATAAATGTTATTAATGAAAATCACCTGTTCCTGTACCAGGGTACTTGGTCGTCCTGGGGTATAACCTGTTCCCTGAGGGCCTTGTGGTCCTTGCGGGCCTACAGGGCAGCCGGTCCAGGGCTTCCTGGTCTGCCTAAACATTCAACGTGGTGTTAAATATACATTTACTTATGTGTTTGTGGATTTTATGTATTTTTACACTTTCTAATAAGCGTATTTGTTTCAAGACTATCAATATTTCTCGAAAATCTATCGGTTGAGACTGTGAAGTTGTTTTGTTTATTTTTTTATATTATTTACTATATAATTCATAAAAATAAATACTCTAAGCTAACCTGCTGGTCCACTAGGGTAACCTCCACTTGGTCCAGG